GCAAACCAGGCAGACGTGCCTAGGGAGCAGCGCAAGCAGATGGGGGTTCTGGGAGGAGGAGGAGGTGTTGGAGTGCATGGGGCTCACAGTGGGGAGATGGACTGACGAGGGAGTGTGGGGAGGGGGTGCTGGGAGTCATGAAGGTAGCAGGGAGAGTGGGTAGAGAAGGGAGGCAGCATGTGGAGTAGTGTAGATGGAAGGCAAACCAGGCAGACGTGCCTAGGGAGCAGCGCAAGCAGATGGGGGTTCTGGGAGGAGGAGGAGGTGTTGGAGTGCATGGGGCTCACAGTGGGGAGATGGACTGACGAGGGAGTGTGGGGAGGGGGTGCTGGGAGTCATGAAGGTAGCAGGGAGAGTGGGTAGAGAAGGGAGGCAGCATGTGGAGTAGTGTAGATGGAAGCGGGCTGTCTGGCTGAAGGGGGGAGAACCGTGGGGAGGCTGCATTTGCAGGCCATGGGGCATTAGGCAACTAGTGCAGGGGGCATGGGAGTATGGAGGCCAGGTTGTGTGTTGAGGGGATGTGCAAAGCAGGTTGTGTTGGGATGTGTGCGTGTATGTGTGTGCCTGCAGAGGGACTGTGTGTGTGGGAGGCACTGGCAGGGCAGGTTGTGTGTTAAGCATGGCAGGAAAAGTAGAGCGTGTGCTGTGTGTGTGTGTGTGTGTGTATATAAAGGTTGTGAATTGTGACATGGGGAAGTTGTGGGTCTGGTATATGTATAGGTTGTGTGTTGGTGTGTGATGGTGCGCAGAGGCTGCATGTTGGGGATCTGTGAAGGTTGTGTGTTTGCTGTGTATGTGTAATGCTTGTGTGCTGGGTGTATGTCTGTGTTTGGGATACGTGTACGAGTTGTGTTTTCTGGGTGTGTGTGTAGAGGCTGTGGGTTAGGAATGTGTCGGTGTGTATAGAGATTGCATGTTGGGGGTTGTGAAGGTTGTGTGCTGGGTGTATATGTGTGGTGGCTGTGTGTGTGGAGGGGATGGGTGTTATGTATGTAGGGGTTGTGCATGTGTTGGGAGGGTGCAGGCTGTGCATTGGACATGTGAAACAGGCTAGCTGGGGAATAGGAGCATGTAGCGTGTGCAGAGGACCAGCGTCTGTGTGCACATCGGGGGGCAGGAGTGTGTCCAGGGCCCAGATGTGCGAGCTGGGAGTGTTGCAAGGAGGGTGCATTCAGAACAGGGTGTGTACCAGTGCGGGTGGACTTTATGGATTTTCAGGAGGCTGACAGGGGGACAAGATGGTGGGGGCAGCCTGGTGGGAGAGATTGTTGAGGGGGTTCTTGCAATCTGGGCTGTGGGTTGTGATGCTCTGTGTGAGAGAGGTTGTGTGGTTAGGGGGTGTCAGTGTGGGGGAGTAGGTATTTCTGTATGTTGACTGTTCCCTTGATACCCACCCACACTGGCAGAGAAAGGGGGGATTCAAGGAGTCACGTTGAGCCCAGCTGGCCAGAAGGGAGCTTGGAGGACCCTGGGTGTGGTCTGAGCAGCCTGTGGGAGGAGCTCCTGGCACTAGCTCCAGGCCAGGCCATGAGACAGGGCAGACATAGGCTCCCATAGGACAAGGTGGCCTGGGTGAGCAGGCACATCCCTGCCAAGGGGGCAGGAGGGAGTGGGAAGAAAAGCTTAGGGGGCACCAGAAGAGAGATACAGGGCATGGAGGCAGCGCAGAAGGACTGGAAACAAAGATCTGTCAAACCCACCAACTGCCCCCTCTAGCACCTCACCACCAAGGGGATAATAACCTACTACTGCCAGCAGAGACTCCAGTATTAGAAGGGGAAAAAAACACTGCAGGAGTGTTGATTCTCCAGGCTAATGGCCCCAAGCTGTTTTCCCACTACTCCCCTCCCCCCCACTCAGCTCATTCAGTCCTGAAAAAGCTGGCAGTGGACAGGGGAGTGGGAAATAAAAGAAACTGTGTGGCTAATTCAGAGTGATTTGGGCTCCACTGATTCCCCATTGATCAAGCAATCATAGAACTGGAAGGGACCTCGAGAGGTCATTGAGTCCAGACCCCTGCTCTCATGGCAGGACCAAGCACTGTCTAGATCATCCCTGACAGATGTCTGTCAACCTGCTCTTAAATATCTCCAGTGATGGAGATTCCACAACCTCTCTAGGCAATTTATTCTTGTTTAACCTCCCTGGCAGTTAGGAAGTTTTTCCTAATGTCCAACCTAAACCTCCCTGGCTGCAATTTAACCCGATTGCTTCTTGTCCTAGCCTCAGAGGCCAAGGGAAACAATTTTTCTTCCTTCTTCTTGTAACACCCTTTTAGATACTTGAAAACTGCTATCATGTCCCCTCTCAGACTTCTTTTCTAGAGATTGGATGGCTAAGTATGATTCAAGGTAGTTGCTAACCGTTAGCCATGCAATCTTTCTCCTAAATTGGTAGCTGAAAACTTTATTTCTACTCTTTTAGTGTACTTTAGAAAGACTGTCCTTTTAAAAAGTTTTATATCTTTTTAGTCTTTCCCCTCCACACACACACTGTGGGATTGCTGGCTTCCCATCCCCGCTCTGGGGCTGCTGCCCTTTTGGCTTTGGGGCTACTGCCCCCCCCCCCCTTGGTCTTCAGCTGCTGCCAGGGGGCCAGGAGCTGGAGCTGGCGGACTGCCGGGGGGAGGGGGTCAGGAGCCAGAGCTGGTGGGGGCAGCCTGCCACATCAGCCACAGTGGGAGGCAGGAGGAGGTGGCCAGCACATGTCCAGGAGGGGCAAGTTGAAAATCCCGTGACAGACAGACAAGAAAAGTGACAGCTTAATAGAAAGATTGTCTAATAATAATAAAATAATAATAAATAATAATAATAAGCCCAGTTCTTTCAGTCTTCCCTCATAAGGCATGTTTTCTAAACATTTAATCATTCTTATTGATCTTCTCCGGACCCTCTCCAATTTCTCTACATCTTTCTTGAAATGTGGTGCCCAGAACTGGACACAATACCCCAATTGAGTCCTAATCAGTGCAAAGTTGAGAATGACTTCGCATGTCCTGCTCACAAAACTTCTGCGAATGCTGCCCAGAATCATGTTTGCTTTTTTTGCAACAGTGTCACACTGTTGACTCATATTTAGCTTGTGGTCCACTATGACCCCTAGATCTCTTTCTGCCATACTCCTTCCTAGACAGTTGCTTCCCATTCTGTAGGTGGGAAACTGATTGTTCCATCCTAAGTGGAGCACTTTGCATTTCTCCTTATTAAACTTCATCCTGTTTACCTCAGACCATTTTTCCAATTTGTCCAGATCATTTTGAATTACAACCCTACTCTCCAAAGTACTTGCAACCCCTCCTACCTGGGTATCATCTGCAAACTTAATAATCGTGATTCATTTAAATCTGGCCCAGTGTAAACGTAGCAAAAGAAAGTAAACTGGACTTCCAGGACAGAGGTGATCTCCGGCCTGGAAGCTAAGAACCCCCCCCAAAAGCAGCTTTTCTGGTCGATGCTCAAAGGACCAACACGACCCAACAGCTGGACACTGACATGGGACAAATTCCACCTGGAACAACATGATCGCTTTCACCAGCAAGAGGTGCTAAGTAGGATACCGTGAGGGACGGGCTTTCTACCAGATCTGCTTCAGGAGACTTGAGAGGGCACACAGGATGGGTCCGACAGGACAGTCGCAAAGGTCCTACGTACGGCCCTGAACATCTGCACTAGGAAAAAAATCTGGCGGGTGGCCTGGTGGGGCTGAAAGTGTGCCACAGACACCTGGGCTGGGGCTATGGAAGGAGTGCCCCAGAGCTCATCCCAGCAATTTTTCAGCCCCACCCGTCGAGCCCTGGGAAATGGAGCGAGTACCCCAGGCCAGCTGCAGGGCTTTCTCCCTGAGCGGAGATGCCCTGGCCTCTCTCATCAAGAGAACCCAACTCTTCCCCGGTGGGCATCAAATGTGTTCTGTCACTGGATGCCCACCAGTTGAGTCCCTGCAGTGTGATCTGTAGCCAGGACGTGTACGCTCTCAGCCAGGGCTCACCCCGTGAGCCATGCTGCGTGCCCACCAAGCACTGCATCCCCAAAACTCTGGTCTCTGATAGAGCACCCAAAAAATGAGCCAAAGGAGCCATCTGCTGGTAGGACGAGCCAGGAGAAGCAAAGGGATTAGTGGTAGGGGTAGGAAACATGGTGGCAGGGTCTGGTGGCAGGGTCTGGAGGGTGGAAAGGGAACATAACAGGTGATGGCGGGGTGAAAGCCAGCCCATGACACCTGCGCAAGTGGGCAGTGCCAGCAAGCCTAGACCAGCAGTGCCTGGCTGCCGACAGGTCTGTTAAACGGTGCCATGGGTGTGGTAGACCATGAGGGGACAGACCACAGGGGATGGTCTGCCCTGTAACCAGAGTCTCTGGCCCTATGGGACCCTAATCTCAGCTGGAGAGGTGGGGTCCAAACAGTGCCCAGCCTCACAAGGCCCTGATCTCAGTTAGGGGGCACAGCAGTGCTATGGGGAATTATTACGGCCAGCCTCCCAGGAGCTTGACCCATAGCCTGGGCACACATTAACTCATTGCTGGATGGAGCTGCAGCCTGTGATGTATGGGCCCCGGGTGCCACTTCTCCATCAGGGGACATGAGGAGAGGCTGAGGTGGGACACGGGGCAGAATGGGCCCCTCCCCCCTCAGGACAGCTCAGAGTTGTGTAAGCCACGTTCGCGCTAAAGCAGATTAGAGCTAATCACAGCAGCTTGATCGCCCTGCGCTGTGGGGGGAGGGGCAGCAGATGGCAGCGCCCAGTCTGGGGGGGAAAAAAGTGGATATGGGAGGGTTGCCCCCCCACAAACCCAGCTCTGCCAATTGCTCTCCAAACTCCACTACTCAAGCCTGAGCAGGGACAGGGCAGGATATGGGGATAGAGGGCCTCGTGGGTCTGAACTGAGCAGCAGGAAAAAGCTCTGATCCCGGGGTAGAGAGGCCCATGGGACCGATACAACTGACTAATGCCCAGTTTTTCCGGCCAGTCAGGAAGCAGCCACAGGAACAAAGGGTTCAAGGGCCAGGTGCCCTCCCAGCGAGGCACCAATCACAGCACCAGGCCCACACGTGCTGCAAAACCAACTCTTCTTTATTTAGAAAAATAACCAACTGCATCACCAACGGGTGGGGGCCAGGAGCCCAATAACTTAAGCAACAGAACGCGGTGGGGTCAGGGCTGGGGGGATCCCAGAACCCCCACACACCACCTTGGCACCAACACAACATGGAACCTGGGGGGCTGTGCCCAGGACAGGGGGCTACTTTACCCAGGTGCCTGGGCTGTGGAGACATCGGGGGGCCTGCAGGGTCCCTGCTTCATCTCCACACGCCGCCACCCTTGCCAGCGCGGGCACCGAACTGGGTGGGTTGAGCTGCCTTCCTCCCAGCCTTGGCAGGGCCGTGGCTCTTCTCGGGACCGGGCCGGGCGTTGGCCGGGCGCCTGGGGAGACCCACCTGCAGGATAGACAGGAGGCTGAGCAGCTGAGAACAGAACCCAGGGCCAACGGCCTCTGGCTGTTCCTGTCAGTGCCCAGCCCCACAACAACCGCCATGGCACC